ATATAATATAATATAATATAATATAATATAATATAATATAATATAATATAATATAATAATAATAATAATATAAAACCAAACCACCATGAGATGACATTGCACTCTTCTGGAATGACTAAATTTAGCAAAAAGACTGACAATAGGTTGACAAAGATGTGGAACACCTGGTACTGGAAATGGAAATTGGCATAACCATTTTGCACAACTATTTGACAATTTATCAAAGTAAACAAGGACCTTCTCTAGTGACCCAGAAATTCTACCCCTACTTTTTTTTTTTTTTTTTTTTGAGTTGGAGTCTCACTCTGTCGCCTAGACTGGAGTGCAGTGGCCGCTCCCGGCCACCGCAGCTTCGACCTGCTGGGCTCCGGTGATCCTTCCGCCTCAGCCTTCCAAGTTGCTGGAACTACAGGCGTGCACTACCACGCCCGGCTTATTTTTTTTTTGGATTTACTGTAGAGATGAGGTCTCGCCAAGTTGCCCAGGTGGGTCTTGAACCCGCAGGCTCAGGCAATCCGCTCACCTCAGCCTCCCAAAGGCGCGGGATTACAGGCTGAGCCACCAAGCCTGGCTTCTACCCCTACTTATATACCCAAGACTCCTGAGGACTGAGACCTACCAAAAGGGATATACACAAGAGTGCTCCCCAAATGGGAAACAACCCAGATGTCTATCCATAGGATTGATACATTGATTATGGCATCTTCACACAGGAAAGGAGTAAAAGTAAAAGCATGAACTTCTCTCCCAGCAACATTGATGAATCTCACAGTCATAGTCATGAGTAAAATAAGTCACACGAAATAATATGTGATTCCCTTAGTTCAGAACAGGCAAGACTAATTGATGAGAGTCAGAATACTAGTTAGCTGTGGGCACAGAGATGTTGGCCAGGAGGGGGCATGAAGGAGCCCTCTGATGTGATGGAAATGTTTCTCCTAATCTTGACCTAGGTAGAGGTTACACAATATATGCACGCACCCATATACATGCACACAGGGGGGGGACCCAAAAAACCCAGAATTATCTTTTGGCAGGCAGGCACCTTGTAGTACAGGCTTCCCCCACCAGGTAAGTGTTCTAGGAACCCATTGGCACCAGTGTACAGCTAGCATGTGTATGAGAGGCTGCGTTTAGCTTCAGTGAATTAGTTTTGGCAATTCTTTCAACGCATTTGCCCATTTCATGATGGTGATTTCGAGTTCACCTGCCCACACCGGGCTGAGTGTTCAGCAGTTTTTGACCAAAAACCACATGAGCCACCGTGCCCCACCCTCCCTATTCACCCAGTCTCACCTCGAGTGACACCTTTTTGTTTCCCTGGATGAAAAAAGGCCTCAAAGGGCAATGTTTTGCCGATGTGGAAGAGGTGAAACAAAAAACGGCAGAAGCACTAAAAGGCATCAACATCAACAAGTTCAAAAACCGTTGTGAACAGTGGGAAAAGCATCTCGATAGGTGTATTGCATCAAAGAGAGAGAGTCCTTTGAAGGTGACTGAAGTTTAAACATGTGAGAATAAATACAATTTTTTATAACTCAATTCTGGTTTTTGGGGGTCCCCCCTCAGTATATATATGCAAATGTTTATCTAACTATACACTTAAGATTGATAAACTCTGGTGTATAGAAGTTAAATAGAGGAAACTTAGAAGTTAAATCAATCTCTAACTTGTGGTATTTCAGGCAATATAAGAAATAAATAACAGGAGTTCTTCTGGAAACTGGGAGAATGTGTCACAAAGGAAGGTCTACGCTTCTAGGTTCCAGGGACCAAAATTAGGGGAAGTGATGGCACGAGTGTTGGTGACACAGGCTGGTTAGAATAGTTGTAGGAGGAAGAGTCTGACATGATTTTCGTGCTTCGTGGTTTTTTTTTTTGCTCCTTCCTGTCTTTGGCTGCAGGTTTACTTGGTCGTTTTTGTTTGTTTTGAGTCTACATGCCCATCCTCCATTCCCATGGCATCATGGTCAACGCAGTGAACAAAGATGAGTCAAGTCAAAGAAGGGGCCTTGGAAGTGGGCACAAGGCAGTGTTTGTATGTCAGGTACTTAGAATTGAGGGGAAAAACTTCCACCTGAGCCTGGCAGCCTGCAGTAGGCCGAGATAGCGCTGTCGTAGAAACCTCCTCACAAGGGAAACTTCTGGGTCCCCGGTGCGATCATGGAACGCATAGGGGTCCAAACGGTAAATGAGGGTCGGGGCCCTTCAGGGGACGAGGAAGGCTGATTCTCATGTCCTGGTGAGGACATGAGGGGAAACAGAAGAGTAGAGACTCTGTCTGCCCTTTCTGACCACAATTGGCTGGTGAGCCAGCTTGGGGTTTTACATGAGGCACACGCTAGGGCTCACTTGTACCATATAAGCGCCAATGGGCTTGGCATTGTTCCTGGCCCTACATGGTGGTTTTCTTAAGAAGAATGACTTATGGGGAGTATTTTCAATGACATGCTGTGCATACATGTGCATTACAGCACAACACACACTCCTGTAAAGAAATAAGACAGTCATGGGCTAGACCCCAAGCTGTGCCAGGTCACCACAGGTTGACTGGGCCACTTTCCAGCTGCCTCCAAGGTAGAACGCCGTAGACTTTATACAACAAATATGCATCAACTTATTCGAATGCTATTGAAGATGTCATATTTTATCATTGAAGTTAACTTCCAAACCTCATATTCTGAATAAAATATGTACATACAGATAGTTCTGTCTACGTCATGGTTTAAATAAAGTGACTATATGCACAGATTTTTTGAGAGCTGTATTTGCTTTTTTATGTGGTGGTTCTGCTAGTGACTGTGTCCCACTTTAATTTAGATAATTCATGTTAGGACACTTATGAAAAACTTGTAGAAGAATTAATGATTGAAGGAAGGAAGTATTATTTGAAATGGAAGTGCTAATAGCCCAAGTCTGTTGACTGTTAAGCCTTATAGGACACAGTGAAATAATGTGAGTGGCTACTGACTTTTCATCCTCAACTTACCGTGTTCTTTTTGACTTTTCATTACCTTTGCAAGTGACCTCATCCTCTTTGTTTTTAAAGTCACACAGTTTTAGTTCTCCTTTTCACATCACTTTGATTTCCCCCCACATGCAGGTGATCTTAAATGTCTCTTTCTAGCCATGATTTCCTCTTTCGCTGTCTTTTGCTGTTGCTGAATGTTTCCACTTGGGTATCCCAGCGTGACCTTGGGCTGTAAGACTGAACTGCTCACCTCCCTGCCTTCTTTCCTGCGCCGAACTTCTTCCACTAAACCAATAGTGGTTTTTCCTCTTTTCTCTGATTAGAAGCTTCCAGACATCTTTGACTAGTTTCTTTTCTTAGTGTTGTATTGCCCAGTCGAGTAAATGCATTGCCAACTGTTTTTTTAATTGTCTATTCCTTATCTTCCTGATTATTCTCACTGTCACCAACACGGCAGTCACCAGCCTCAAGCTTGCATGACTCCTGCAAGTGATGACACTCTTTTTTTTTTTTTTGAGTTGGAGTCTCACTCTGTCGCCCAGACTGGAGTGCCGTGGCTGCTCCCGGCCACCACAGCCTCGACCTGCTGGGCTCCGGCGATCCTTCTGCCTCAGTCTTCCAAGTTGCCGGAATTACAGGCGCGCGCTACCAGGACCAGCTGATTTTTTGATTTATTGTAGAGATGAGGTCTCGCTGCCCAGGCGGGTCTCGAACCCGCGGGCTCAGGCAATCCACTCACCTCAGCCTCCCAAAGGTGCGGGATTACAGGCTGAGCCACCGAACCCAGCTAGTGATGACACTCTTAACCCCTTTCACTACACAGCGTGCTGGCCGGGTAAACTTTCCTAGAGCCTGCTTTTGCTGATGTCTTTCCCCTCCTCAGAAACCTTTCGGATAGCTTCCTGTCCTCAATAAAATGTTATCCAAGCCTAGCCTGGCTTTTACCAGCTCTGTTTCCAGAGATTTACCTTCCTAAAACGTCTTTTCCAGCAGACGGTTTGACTCACTGTTTCCTGAGCCCCCTTGGCCTGGCCAGCCTCTGGGCTCACACGCCAGTGTTCCCCACACAAATCATTCCTTCCCTCCCTCGCCATCCATCCAGCCTCTGTCCAGCCTTCAACACCCCTGTGGTGTCTTGGTCCTCCTCAGTGTGCAGCCTGCCACTTCTAACTTCCGTTAGTGGCACTTACTGTCTGTAGGCGGTTTCATAATGTAACTTCTTGCAGTTTGTGACAGTTCTTTTTATTGTGGTAGCGCGAACTGCTTTTCATGCCTTTAGTTTTTCACATGTGTCAATGCTTCCAGGTGACAATCTTTGCCCTACCCGCATTCTCTATAATGCCTGATGTACACTAATGCTAAAAATGCAACCTCTAGCCTGGGTGCAGGGGCTCAGACCTATAACCCCAGAACTTAGGGAGGCCGAGGTGGGATGATCACTTGAACCCAGGAGTTTGAGATCAGCCTGGGCAACGTAGTGAGGCCTCTTCTCTACAAAAAAGAAAAAAAAATTGCTGGGTATAGTGGCGTGTGACTGTAGTTCCAACTACTTGGGAGACAGAGATGGATTGGTCACGTGGGTCCAGGAGGTCAAGGCTGCAGGAAGCAGAGATCAGGCCACTCAGGCCAAAATTTTGGTAGCTTTTAGGTTTGATCACTAGTAAATTCTTCACACCTAGAACAGAAAGTGGCATGCAATAGGTGTGTAATAAATATTTGCTACATAAATTGTACGTGTTCAATAAAGGCTAATTTATTTGGTTTAAGGTTGTTCACACCTGCTGTGTTTCTCTGTGTCTTCCCTGTCTTTCTCTCCCCCTCCCTTCCTCCCTCTCTGTTTTTCTCTTTTTCTCTGTCTTTGTCTCTCTCCTTTTCTTTCTCTTTCTCCCTCCCCCTCTCCTTTTTTTTTTTTTTTTTAAATTATAACTAAGAGATTATTACAGTGGAAAGGAAAGTGAATGTGGTGCATAGCCAGCATCCACTCAGCAGGGCTTGGCTGGTCCTTCTAAAGCACTTCTTCTTCCTGCAGATATTAATGAATGCCAGCTCCAAGGCGTGTGCCCTAATGGTGAGTGTTTGAATACCATGGGCAGCTATAGATGTACCTGCAAGATAGGATTTGGGCCGGATCCCACCTTTTCAAGTTGTGTTCGTAAGTAATAATCACTTTTTATTCCTATATTGGGCCAGTTGTCTTTGGGGTTTATTTGAAAGAAGGCAAGTGTTTGGGGGTCAAGTGAATGTTGCTAATAAGCAGGAAAGACCATGAATTAAAAAGACAGGAGGAGGGGTCTGCCTAGGATAGTAAAATAAACCTGTATTATGAAACCGTCATTGTGTTCAGAAAGATGTAATCACTAAAGCTGAGAGTGGAGAGTAAGCACACCTTTAAGGACACTTTGATGGAAAGAAGAGTTCATCAGAATGGATAGATCAACCTTTTGTGGCACCCGAGAGACGAAAATAATTTCTTTTCCTTCATAAATACAGTATTTTAAGCATTCTTTATGCTAAATTAAATTTTGTCCCAGCTTCTGCCTTTAATTATTCCAAATTCTGAGTCACTGGAATCTGATTTAATGAGATTCCACTGTACTTTCTCAGCTGGAAGAATCTGGAAAATAGTTACCAAGGCTCTGCGTGTCAGATTTTCTAGTTCAGTTCTAAATTCAAATATTCTATTTTTCCCAAACCCACCAAAATACCCTCGACGTCTGACTCCTGTATCTGATACAGGTAAAAATCCCTTATTGAGCCACATGTTTTAATATTGGCTCCGAAAAAAAAGTTTCACCGAAGAGACACTCCCTCTCCGTGAAAACTAATCTGGTATCATCACTACTGATCACATGTTGTCAGAGAGGAATGCACTTTAAGTGGAAAGCTCTCAAATGAGGAATTTTTTTTTAAGGTTGCCTTATTTTTAAAGTAATCATGCCCATTATTACAAAAGTGGTAAGCACTGCCATTTTTTTTTTTAAGAGATGGGATCTCACTACATTGTCCAGGGTGTACTTGAGCTCCTGGGCTCAAACAGCCTCTTAAATACCTGGACTAAGTACTAGGCATGAGCCACCATGCTCAGCAGCACTGCAGATTTTTAAAATCTATATCTATATACAGCTAAAATTTAAATGAATGCATGGCAGAAAACTGTTAGGATAATTTTAAGAGCGCGATTTTGTGTTAGTTTCTGTCCTACAGAGTTGTTTTTGTTTATTTTTTTAATGTGTTTTTTGGTGCATGCTGAGCTGAAGCTTTCTCGTCCCTGGTTTTAAACTTGCCAATTGGTCCAGACACATTCTCCATGAGGTTACTGTAATTCATTTTAACCCAGCTTCTCTCTGTGCCCTCAGGCAGATGCATGGAGGTGACAAAATATAGTAAAACAAATATGATGACCCCCTTTATTACTTTGAGATGAGCTTGTTGCGTCTTTTGAAACAGTGTCACTAATTACAACTGTTTTCCTTTAAAAACTGTCGATTGCAGATTAGGAAATTTTGCACGTAAGTCCTTTTTTTTTCCCCGTGTTCTTTTACAGACATTTCTGATCACGAAGCAGACAGACACCTAATTATGCAGCTTTTGTGGGGTTGGGGTGGGGAAAATAAACCATAAAATTGTGTTTGCATACAAGGTACATTTGAAAACTGATGCAAGGATTTGGAAATTTCGGGCCAAAAATTACATTGTTGATGAAATCCAGATAATTTAAGGATAATTTTTGGCCGATTTGAATTACATGAATAAATACTTTAAATCGTTTTCTAATTTAAGCGTAAAAGACTGTAAAGAGTTTGGATGTAGAGTTTGTTGTGAATATTTTTTTCCTCTTACATAATTTGACTTGTAGTCTGATTAAAATTCTTACATTGAAGGTTGCAGGTCTGAGGTCTAGAGTTAAGGGCAGACGTCCAGGTTTTAATATGATTGTAGAAATCTGCCAATGAGAATTTTGAGACACTTGCACATTTCCTTAGCATTTATTTTCCCTGTCATTGCCCAAATAATTCTGAACTTATTAAATAACCATCCATTCTTATTTGAAAAAATAAATAACTCACTTTCACGGTTCAGCGGCAACAGCTGAAATGATAAGTATGAAGAGACGTTTGTTGCTAGTTAAGCGTTCCAGTTGAGAGTTTGAAGTTCAAACCTGGGCTCTTTACCAGCGTTGAGTGAGCAGACGTATTTCTCTTTCTTCTGAATTTGCCATATGTAACATTGCAGCAGTGTACAGTGTTCTTTTAGGATTTGTGATGTAGAACAATCCAGTCTGATTTGTTGGGGAATTCTGTGATGAACTTGGTGGGAAGTCTGAAGACAGTGGGGAAGAGTCGGGGAGGAAGGTGATATTCACACAGTAAGAGAGAAAAAAAAATGGAAAGATGGTGATATTTTTGATAGTCATAGGGAAGTGACAGGAGGAAACTTGGAGTCTCTCACTTTCTGTCTCTGTCTCTGTCTCTTTCTCACTGTCTCTCTGTCTCACACACACAGACACACGCACACAAACACACTGAACAGAGTTGTTGCTTTGAGTTTGTAACACATGTTCCTTAGAGGTAAATAACCAGCCAGAGATTCAGAGCATGCAGATTAGTGGAGGAACTGACCGCATGTGTTCAGGCAGCAGGGATTTCGGGCATATCCAGGCCACAAAAGGTGTGGCTGACTCTGTGAACTCCAAGAAATGCACTTGGCAATGGCCATGGAGCAACGGGAAGCTCTCTCTGTTCTTGAATGCGCAGAGGTGAACACCCTCAGATTCCTTGACTCCAGCCAAAGGTTGCAGCCATCTCACTTTCTCTCCCTGCCACTTCCGTTCTTGACCTTGACTTAGCCAAGCTGAAAGGAAGAAAGTGGGCGGACGCTGGCATCAGCTGCTTCTGACCTGTGTCCGTGGGTTCCTATGCTGTAGCAGCGTTCTCCTGACCTGCTGCCTATCTTGTGGGGAGAGGTGAAAATGTCAGGACTTGTGAGAGCAAATTCAAGAACAGTAGGATCCCTTTTGCAATTGAAACAGGAAGAAGGCGGAAGCCTTTCTGAACTGCTTCAGGAATTTATGAGCCCTTGGTTGAGTGCTGCTGAGTGTGAGTCCTTAGGCTCAGTCAAAAGGTCCAGATAAAGCAGTCTGAGCCTGGTTGTGCCTTTTTGTAGTATCATGGACTTGGAGCTAATGGACAGAAGTAGAGGGTTGGAAAGAGGATGTGTTCAGGAACTTTTGCCGCAGTCCTGAAAGTCATGAGATGAAGGCAAAGTCCCTTCTAAATTCATTCTAAAAGCCAGTCCTATTTAAGTACATGATTTCTTTTTAATTTCCTCACCATCCCCGAGGTATATATTATTATTCTTATCTTACACATTGGGAAACAGAAGCTAGGAGAGTTTGAGTAACTTCTCACAGGGCTAGTAGCTGACACTTGAGATTTAAAACCAGAACTTGTGCCTCCAAATCTAGGTTTTGGATCAGGGGCTCGTAAACTATAGGCCCTGGGCCAAATCTGCTCACTGTGTGTTTTTGTAAATAAGATTTTATCAGAACACAGCGTGTCCATTCATTTACATATCATCTAAGGTTACTTTCGAGTTACAGTGACAGAGTTTAGAAATTGCAGCAAGGGACAGTGCTGGGGGGAGGGTCACATAGCATCAATAAGGGTACCCACACTTTACCTGAACAATGACCACATGGGTACCTAACCCTGAATTGGACCCCACATTTTTAAAATAAAAGAAGTTGTAACAAAGACCGGATGGCCCACAAAGACTAAAGTATTTTTTATCTGGCCCTTTACAGAAAAAGTTTACTGACCCTCAAGCTAATTAACACTGTCCAGTAGAACTTTCTGTGATGATAGACATGTTCTCTCTGGGTACTATCTGATACAGTAGCCACTAGTCACATAAGGCCAGTGTGACTGAAGCATAGAATTGTCAATTTTGTTTCATTAAAATTTTATCCATAGCTGAATGGGTAAATCACTGCTAGCTCTCTTGCTTTTTCCTTGAGGCAGGCTTTTCTCCCAGATTTGGTGTTTTTTGTTTGTTTGTTTGCCCGTGGCAACATTGTCCTGCCAGACGCTCAGGCTGGAGCCTGGGTCAACTTGGACTCTTTCATCTCTTCTGGTTTCCAAGGAGGTCGTTACATTAAATCTTCGTAATTTATCTTATACCTGCTCCTTTCTTTCCACCTCCTCTGTGGCCATCTCAGCTCAGGCCCCTGGCCTCCCTCACTCGGAAGGCCTGTGGCACCATGGCCTCGAGGTGAGACCTATGCACACCACTTGCTCCCAGATAGTAACAGTAATGACAAACCCATGACAGTCGTCATCTTTCTTGTACACTTCATAAGTGGATGATCACACATAATTCTCAGAAGAGTTCTCTTGGATTTGTACTGCTATTCTTTCCAATTTAGAAGTGAAAGAATTGAGGCACAGCGAGGTTAGGGATCTTTCTGAACATCACATGGCTTACAGGTGGTAGGGTCAATGTTTGAACTCGGTCTGTCCCACTTCATAGGCTGATCCTTTTTCCTCTTGGATAGAGTCCCGGAAAGGAAATTAGACCAAAATGACAGGCATACTTCATTTATCTAAGGAGAACTGCTGTTTAAGTTCACACTTCAGAATGGGTAGCTGAACTCTATGATGGCCTCGAATTATTGCTGCTTTTATTTTGGTTTTCCATGAATTGATTTCTAAGGGCACATGGCCCCCAAAGGGCGTCCAGTGGCTGCCACTACCCTGGGAAAGCTACCTCTCAGACTCCTCCTAACAGCGTTCCCTTCTTCCACACCTGCCTCCCAGCATCCATCCCCATGGGTATGGGAGGCTTTAAAGGGATGAAACTCTAATGTGGAATTTCATCCAAGAAATGAGGAGGGATATTGGAGGTGTGGGTGGGAGTGACTGCAAGCTAGATCCTTACGCCCTTACTCTCTTCTGACATTCTTTAGTGTTCAAATTATGTACCAGATGAATTTATACCTGCTGAATGATATTTGTCATTCACCATTTTAATACATTAGAGTAGCATGTTTTGGAAAGGATAATGAGAATTTATCGTACAATTCTAGAAATAAGGCCATAATTAAACGTGAGTTGCTTAATATAGTTTGGGAGCTGAATTGCCATCAGTACTGGA